TTTTTTTTTTTTTGAATTTTTGTTAACATGCGGATCCCACACACATGTGAGAAGTTGTCAATCTCAGTTGTACAACTAGAATTTTCCAAAATTCATTATGCACTTCACATTCATAAAAATTAAGCCCATGTTTGGTACTGATTAAAATCTAAATTTTAATCTAAGTCAAAGTCAACAATTAATTTTAACCATATATTTTATAGGTTCCACAACTTTTCAACCACACATTTTATCAATTTCTATCAAAATCTACTAATAATCTAATTTTAATCCCCACCAAACACGAGCTAAAAGTAGAAATAATGGGTGAACACATACACATAGCGCCGCTTGGCAGTCTTTAAGTAATAAATCAGCTTCTGAAATTAAATTACTCATTCCATGTGCAAGATTTAGAGCTTGCCAAGTATTTTTCTCTTCTGAGGTAACATACTGTTTGAAATCCTTGCGACGACTACACATATTTTTCCATGTTTCTTGTAAAGAATCAATTACACAATCAGGTTCAGGGTTAGTGAAGGACTTCAGTCTCCTAATGAAATCCATGCTGCTACACTCATCCATCACTTGATACCCTCCTCATGTTTGGATAGAGAATCTCCTACCTCCTCTTGATAACCTAATACTGCATTAGCATCAGATTTACTTCCTAATATTTTCTGCTCAATAGGCAGTAGATGCAAAGAATGTTAGAATTTATCGCCACCGACAGGATTCAAGTTTGGTAGTAAATTTTGAATTAGAGACTTTGCATCTTCTGCATTGGTAAAATGACCATCGACACTGTTGTAGAAAATAGTTCTCCTTCATTCATAACCTCTGTCTCAGGGATGAAAGATAATTCTGGCTCATAGTAAATATCAAGTGATTTACGTGTATCATCTATAAGAGAATTATCAACTCCAGCAGAAATCTGACAACTTTTCTCCAACTTGTCTAATTCAAAATGATCAATTTGCTCGGTTGGATGGCAACAGCTTTCAGTAGGCAAACAGTGACTGGTTAGGTATCACCATTAATACCAACAAATATTTCCCTCGAGACTACAGAAATCCTCTCACTGAAGCATTCCCCTTCAGAATCAGAAAGTACTGCATCAATCTTATTCCAATTATTTCGTTGAGTGAATGCTATTGGGGAGTGAGAGGAATCAGAAAACTACCAATTAGTACCAATTTGTGCACATTCACCATCATCCTGAGTTGAGTGCAATCTCAATACAGCTTCCTTCTTTGCCTCGATAGTGTCAGCTTCACCATCCTTCACATATGTATTTTCTGTTTTATTGTCATTTATCTTGTCTTCCTGAACTAATACTTCCACCACCCTATGGTTTTCTGCCATCAAAATCAAAGATTTGACAATCTCCTCTTCTGCAAGCCAAGAGAGGCGAGAAGGGTGACCCCAAGGGATTATTTTTTGAAGGATTTGTGCCCAGCATCAAGATCAAATAGAAGAGGACTATATGTCGTCTGCATTTCACTACCTGGATACGGTTATAGACTTATAGTTACAAAGTGAAATCAAGAAATTTAGGCTTTGTTGCTTTATGCAGGTATTTGAATGTTATGAATGAAACATACTTTTAAGAAACTGAATTGTACACCATTCAAAATGATCCAAGCATTTTATGTCAATTCAACTCAACGTGGAATACTGATACATTCCTGTAAGGTACAAGGAAATATTTAACTATAAAATAAAAATTGGGTTAAAAACCTATTTGGCACTCAACTTATAGGTATGCCCCATCTAGGTCACCCTTCTTATTTCTGTTGCAAATTTAGCTCTAAACTTTAATTTTCTTACCTTGTTAGTGACTCCGCTCAATTCCATCAACAGAAACTATAGCAATGTACAAATGAAGGGCAGAATTATTATCTAACATAATCTCAGATAAAAATACCAACAATTGACCAACAGATAAGATATCATTTTATTGAAGCCGTTTTTGCACAAAACTAAGATTTGATCCTGAAACAACTTATTAATGTTGGCCAATTGTTGGTATTTAACGTCTAAAATTATGCCACATAATAATTCCGTCAGCCACGTGCACATTATGCAGTTTCCATTGACAGAATTGAGCGGAGTGACTAACAAGGTAAGAAAAATGAATGTTTAGTGCTGAATTTGTACCAAAAAAGATAAGAGTGGCCAAAATAGAACCCACCAATAAGTTGAGTGTACAAACAGATTTTTAATCAAATAAAATTTAATATTCTAGTAGTGTATTTATATTTGTACATGCATGCAAATCCTTGGAATCTTTTCAGAGATTTATATTGAACCCTTGGATATAAATAAGGGAGCATTATAGGAGCTCAAAGTTATTTTTGTGTTATTGTCTGAAGCAATTCTGTAAAAGGAAGAATTTATATTTGAATGATTGTATAGGAAACAAAGAAAGTTTCAGGCACAAGGTACAGAAATAAGGAGAAAATAGATTTTGTGAGTATGAATTACCTTCCCTAGGAGATTGGCCTTGGCACCAAAGCTGGAGATGCATGATGGTTTTGCGAATGTCTCCTTGACAGTAATTAATGAATCATTCTACCACGAGAGGATGAATTACAGCTTTTTCGGGAGCAAAAACCTATGAGGGTATCAAAATGTAGTTCCAAATGAAGAAATTGACGAGAATTCGAAAACGAAAATCTGCAAGTAACTCATACCACTCGGACAAGTCCAAATAGCTCCTTCAGTGATGGTACAGCAAAATTTAACTCTAACCTGTCCAAACTCTTAGGAAGGACAGGATTGTTACCTAAGAGAAATATCCCCAAAATAACTGTTACTTCACTGCCTTAAAGAAGGTCATTTATGACAAAATGCTACCAACAAGACTTCTTACTATTGCTTGTTAAGATCGTGGGTTGTTTGGCAGTCTCTGCAAGTTGTTGTATTGTAGATATAAAACCACGATCTTTTTTTTTTGATAAGTTATAAAACCACGATCTTCACTGAGAGTAGCATCCGTATCCTCAAAAAGAATCAAGGTTAGAATCTCATTCTGATAATTAGCAACTTTATTCTCCCGGAGGACTGATCTCTCTAGCCTTGCACCAGTATTGTGGGAATCTGCATTCTGTGATAAGAGTACTACCTCAATAATTTCATCATCAGAGCAGTGGGACTTTGTAATGACAGCTGACAAGGACTTTGATAGAGGTCTGTAGTCTGAATTAGTTGAATTTTCTGCTGTGCTGAAACAAAAATTCACATTTAAGATGTTAGTGATTCATCACATTTACAACTACAGAACTCATATTGTCTTTAAACCTTTGAATCATTCCAATTAATAAATTCAACATTTGCGTTAGAGATGCTTCCACATTCAACTTCTAAATAGATAGCGGTCAAATACAGAATCCATCAAAAAAGACTATATTCATCAATTAACGTTAGCACATGAGCATGTCAGAAAAACATTTTAGAAGTTTATACAAGAACTGAGCTGCTAGAAATAGTTTCCTTTTTAAAGAATGATAAGTTTTGGTGTCTTTGCATCATTAGTTCGCGATAGTTGTGAGTCTTGAACCACGGATACAAAATGTTCTAATATGAGAACATCTGAAGCCCTTTCATTTTGATTAAGCACAAGGTCACGTCCCTAAATAGGTATGATTAACAATCTCCCAGGTTCCAGCATTATGTGCCAATTTAACCAACACTGTGCATTAATGGCAAAGGACCTCTATTAATTGATAAGACTATAGTTAAAAGACAAATTTAAGTAGTGAAATAACAGAACTCATTTATGAATACCCCAAGCTGAATCCAATAGATACTTGGTAAAACAGCAGGCCATCGAACCCATCCAACATTCTAGGTTAGGTTAACATGCCACCATGAAAATCCAATGGAGAAATAGTCCTACTAGTGTTTCTCATAGAGGATAATCATTTTCTACTATTCCTTTCAAGTTTTAGCAAGAATCTTCCTTTTTTGTTAAAGTTTAATCAATCTATGAACAGTAAAATTATTTTGATGGAATATTAATATACCAGAAAGAGTATTCATTGGCAAGAAAAACTAAAGAAACTGTAAGGATGTGTCTCTACTCTTGCTTTAGTAAACAGAATAGGTTTTAAATGCAAGATTAATGATAAAGTACAGACTAACCATTGGTGCCAATGTGATTCCACAACCACACCAAGTTTTTGCTTTACAAGAGCTCAATTTCGCCAATCTTATGAGTTGATCTAGCAAAAAATAAAAAATAAAAATCAGACTTAGATCAAGAAAAAAATCAGACATAGAATGAGAATTTGAGTAAATGGAAGGCTTGTCAAATTTAGATGAGTTTATTTCAGTTTAGTATAAGTTTGACTTAAATTAGGTTTTCATTCCTTAGTTTTAGTTTCCTAATTAAATTAGACTTAATTAAACACTTTTTTCATTAGACTTGATTGTTGAATAAATAAGTAGTTTCTCCTAAATTCTCTCTTTTCTCTCCCCTTTTTTCTATCTCTTCATCCTTTCTCTTTTCTTCTTTCCCTCTTTCCCCTTTTTCTATAATTCAGGTTCTAAATGTCCAGTGTCATTTTCTCTCTGACATATACGTCCTTGCTCCACACTTGGAACATGATTTAAATTGATTAACCCCTATAACTTCTTAAAGCTTAGGGTAGAAAAAGAAAATGAATAATTGTAGTTGCAAGCACTACTGTGTAATCTAACATTTCTTGTCATTTTTCAGAATTCTTCTTTTACAGAATCATCTCAGGTATTCTTGTATAGTTATAGCTATTGACATAAACTTGTTTAATAATAACAAAAACAGGTATATACTCGCAGCAGAGTTTGGAGGTTGCTGGTCTCCTTGTTTTCATCAGGGGATTCAATGAGGATTGGCTCTTTTTCTGCCTTTTCTGCTGTGATCTTTCCAAGTCCTTTAGAAAGAAACCAACTGTCAAAAAAAAAAATCCAAAAAATTGAATCATTGAAGAGTTCAAATGTACTCTTCATTTTATCAACTTAAAATTTCTAGAATTCGAGATGTAAACTCAAGCAGAATAGAACCATTCTTCTTCTGCTTCATTTTGCTGGAGTCAGACTGAAGGTAGGAGAATATTTGTAGTAAGGTGTTCACTTACTAACTATAGTTAGGGATGGCAAAAAAGATCGTGGGCTCGGGCAGCTCGGAATAAGCCCAAGCCACCTAGCCCATTTTGGGGCCTCGGCCAGAGCCAGGCCCGTGTGGCTCGTATAAAAAAAAATTTAAATAAAAATTTAAAGCTGCTTGCACAGCAGGCAACTATAATTAGCTGAATTAGCATGGGGAGACCAAAAAAATAATTGAAAAAAATGATAATTGGAGTTTGGTGTAAGCAAAATACAATAGAACACATGCTGCCTTCTGTTTGTAAAATAAATAATTAAATGGAAAGGAAAATAACCAAGGAAAAGAGGCTCACTTAATTGATATCTAAACATGAAGAATGATTTACTTAACTGATGATATGGCATATAGATTTTTATGATAAATCTCAATATTTGAATTAAATTTATTATTTATCAATTAATTGATGTATAATATAATATCATTGATGTTTGGCATAAACTAAGTACGGGTGCTTATTAAATCATTTACCATCTAAACTTTGACTCACTAATTTATAACTAATTTTCAATAAATCATTTTTATGCTATGTTGTAGGCTAGCGAGGGAGGTTACGAATACTATCTCCCGTTGTCAATTAATTTGAAAGTGAGACATAATCGAGCATGAAGAAATAGATGAAAATAATCTAACAAAGTTTATCTCCTTAATTAATATTCTAAGAGATCGTCCTTAGCTATTTTATGTAAAAAGTTAATCCTCACCAACCATCGATGATAAAGAATTTTACAATTCAATTATACTAGAGATAATGAAGAAACTGAGCCGGCTCGGCCTGAAAGCTCGGGCTGAGCCTTATTTTTTTGGCCGGGCTCGTCTCGGGCCCAAAAAAGCTCGAGCCAAGCCCGGGTTTTTTTTTTCGGCTCGTTGAAATAGCTAATTGTAGCTGGAGAATTTCCATCACCGGCTTACTTGTCTGGAATTTCTTTACCATTTGGTTTAGCCTGAAATATAGAAAATTTAGCTCTTGTTTGGTCCCCATTTTATAAAACTCATTTTTAACCCCACATTTCATGGCACCACGCAACTTTTATCATATTTTCAACAATACATTTCATCAACTCTAAACAAAATCTACTAAAAATCTGATTTTTAGCTCAACCAACAGGGGCAAGGGTTAATACAGCGGAATTCACAAACATTGACTATTTTGGTTTTATGTAAATTATAGGATTGGCTCCATTTTACTCCAACATATCCTAAAGAATATGTAAATATGAGGCGAAACTCATAAACCACAATTATTATGGTTTTATGTAAATTATGAGACTGGTTCCATTTTACTCCAACATGTCCTAAAGCATAGTTTTTATTATCGTGCAGAATACATGGCCTTGTTTGAGCCACCTTTTTATAGAATGAGAATGAAAATATAGCCGTTATTGGGACCCACACAATAGATAGAAAATTTGAATTTAAATGTTGATGTGATGAATAACGATCATAATTTTTCATTTTAATAAGGAAATAAGGTGGCCCTTTGGGCATAAATTTGTGCTTGTCTCTATTCACTCCTTAGGGCACCGTACACATACAAATTTCATCTGACAAACTTAACAAGTCCTCTTAATTAACTTCAAATAAACCTGCCACTGTAATTCCATCAGCGTCCCAATGCAATCAAAATAAAATTAATAATATTCTACAATTTCTGTGCACCTCGAGAAGTGATCAATTATATAACTATTAAAACAGCTCAACTACTACAGTCCAAAGAAAAATGTTTATTATGAATCTGCAACACAATCACGAGATTTTTTCTTCACTTTCTGGCTAGAGGATTAGTCAAAGAAGCGAATGGATGCAATGTACAATCCTTGAAGCAAGATGTACAGCAAATACCTTATCAGAAGAAGCTCCTGACTGCGGCAGTGGCCTTTCCCTTTCATTTTTTGCCATTACTACACCATTCCTCTTCCTCATAATCCTTGCCTTCCTCAAATTCATCACCCTCGCAATTTCCAGCTTCCTTGACTGAAACCTCTCTGTGTGGAAACAGCGTCGACTGAACCAATCGCCGCCTAACGAGAGTCCCCTCCATAGCTGAATTGGGGTTTGATGGTGGAGGAGAAGAAGGATTTGCAATTGGAGAAACGGTTTTGCCGCGCAGTGAATTCTTATATGGGGCACTCGGAGCTGGGGAGTAAAAGGTAAATAATTGTTTTTTTTGGGTGAAAATAGTAATTTTAACTAGTAGGTTGGATGCGTGTTGTGGTAGGATACATAAGTCGAGGATGCCCGTGTCAAGAAAACAAATGTACGGACTTGAATTGCATATTGGCTATAGTTTAGGGACTATTTTCGAATTTCCCAAAGAATATTACATGTGAATTATTCTTGTCTCGATGTTCAAGAAAGTTGGCCACTGTCGGATGAACGCTCTATCTCTCTCTCTAACAGTGCAGCTGGAATCAGCTCCAGACCAGTAAAAAATCTAAACCCTAAAACGTGAGAACAACCATAAAACGCCAAGAAATCGACCTTTTCAGTTTTCCCTGCAAAAAGGCCTTTCCTTTCTCTCGGGTTAAAGCGGCAAAAGAACCCATTTTTCGCATAAACGGAGATAAATCCTTGTTCTTGAAAATGGCTAACAAAAACCCCTTCACCATTCCCATTTTCTTCCTCTACTGCTTAACTACATTACTCTCTCAGACAACCTCAAAGTCCACAATAGAGCCATGTTCCAACTCCGACACCTGCAGTGCCCTTGTGGGCTACACTCTCTACACCGACCTTAAAGTTTCAGAGGTCGCTTCACTCTTTTCCGTCGACCCCATTTCTCTCCTCCTTTCAAATTCCATTGACATCTCGTACCCCGATGTTGAAAACCACATACTCCCATCTCAACTCTTCCTAAAAATCCCTATTCCCTGTTCCTGTGTCGACGGGATTCGTAAATCCTCCACGACTAGCTATAAGACCCGCCCTTCCGACACCCTTGCCTCCATTGCCACCGCCGTCTACGGAGGACTTGTCTCGGCCGACCAGATCAACGAGGCCAACCCTGATGCGGGTATCTCTGACCCTTCTGTGCTTAATGTAGGGACTAAGCTTAATATTCCACTCCCCTGTACTTGTTTCAACAATAGTGATAACAATTTGCCGGCGATTTATATGTCTTATGTGGTGAAACCTGTGGATACACTGTCGGGGATTGCTGCTCGGTATTTCACCACTCTGAGTGATCTTATGAATGTGAATCAATTAGGGAGCCCTGCTATTAAGGAGGGTGACATTCTTGCCATTCCCTTATCTGGTATTGATTCTATTCATAGTTTGGTTTGTTCGATTGTTGTTGTATGTGTTGCTTTTGAAAGATTAGTTATTTATATTGGAGTTGAATGCATTAATTGTAGAACAACTTTATTAGCAGTGAGATTTGAGTCACATAATTGTTATTACAATTCAAATGCAATTTGTGATTGACGTCGTTGTCCAGGTGTAGAGCCGACATTCTCATTCTAAGATTAAAGAAAACCCCCAACAATCTTAACAAGGTCTTCTACACTTTCTGCTATGTTTATGGTCACTGAGAGATAAAATGCAAGCCTTTTCGAGTTGCTGATGAATTCAAATATGTAGAGTACTATGAAATTATGAAGAATCTCAATTGTGTGTGCATTGCTATGAAGTATGACCTTTTGTACAATAGAGTTCAAAATTGTTATGCTAACATTCATATCTGTTGTATCCATACCTTTCATTTAATATCAGTGACTTCTGGAGATCATATTTTGGCTCATTAGGTTATTATTTTTTTTTTATGTAGTGCCTTTTATGAGTAGTATCCACGTAGCATTGTTGTCCTACGCAATTTTCCTCCATTTCTGTCAAGAATTTGTTCCCAATTCAAATTTGTCCTCTTAAGGGTAATTGCAAATTTTCCTTTTGGAAAAGAAATTTAAACTTCCTGTTTTTGTTTTATCACCAATTCATTTCTGGAGGCATTTTTTTACAGTTTTGGATTCATTATTTTTAGGAAACTGAAAATGCCACAGTAGGTTCCATGTGTTAAAGATTCACCAGTAGAATTTACCCTCAAAACTGACTTGTAAGTGGAGGATATGCCCTTATGAGCCCACAAAGCAAGATTTAACTTAGTTGCATGGTACTCAATAAGTTGTAAACTCCACCATATATGTTCACGGGGACCCATATTCTTAGCCCCAACGTCACAAAACCAGCCTTCTATGGAAAGTAGCCCTCCCAAGATCTCCCCTATTAAAAGAATCATTAGAAGAAAACTGGGTAGAATTCTTCATTAAAACCAGCTTCTAATTAGAAGACCTAATTTGTTTATCAATCCACTAAGTCAGAAACTGAGCCTCAACGTAATGTGGGACTCGATTAGGGTCATTACACCAGTAAAATGTTGGTAGAGATTTTGTTTGTTCTTTTCATTTGACATAGTTGCTTTTATGGATAACGCTTTCTACAGTCTTTTAGTGGATGTCTGTTAAAAATTGGGGTTTATGATAGAGCTGATATTTTGATCAATGTAGATGGCACATTAGAGAACTCATTAAATGTTCGGTAGAGATTTTGTTCGTTCATTCCATGTGGCATAGTTGCTCGTGATTTTTATGGATAAGCTTTCTATATTCTCTTAGTGGATGTCTGGTAAAGATTGGGATTTGTGATAGAGTTGATACTTTGTTCAATGTGCAGAAGGCACATTAGAGTCATTTGATGTCTCTAGAGTTTATTGTGTTCAATGAATCAAATAGTTCAAAGAATAAAATAATAGATAAGCAAGCTAAATGATGTAACAGTAGGATTTTCACTTTATACAAGCAGAAAAGCTTGGTTTATGTATGTTGGAAACTGGCGATTATGACAAATTTGTAAATGACCCTCCATGTAATGCATTTTGCAGCCTGTGCATCTAATTTTCCAAAGTATGCTTCGGATTATGGCTTGTTTGTACCGAATGGGAGTTATTCTATAACTGCAAGTGACTGTGTGCAGTGTAGTTGTGGTCCAGGGAGCCGCAAGTGAGTGAGCAACTTCAAGTAGACATATGCCTTAAATCCTCCCTTTTCCCTGTGATTAAATTATCTTACAGACTTCTTGTATTCTTGCAGTTTATACTGCATGCCAGCTTCATTGTCAGTTTCTTGCTCGAGCATGCAATGCAGAAATAGTAATCTCATGCTAGGAAATGTTACCACACAACAGTCGAGTGCTGGATGCAATGTAACTTCTTGCAGTTATGGTGGCTTTGTAAATGGAAGCATCACCACCTGGTATGCTTATGCTTCTAAACTGGTACTTTGTCCTTAAATTTCTGTTCTGTGAGAATTGTTATTTCTATGGACCTCTGGTTTTTTTGGATATGGAAAAATGGAAGCTTTCTTCTTTAATTCTTCTTTGTCTTATTGTAGGTTGTACTCATCTCTTCAACCTAGATGCCCAGGTAAATGTCAATCAAATGCCATTCCTTTGACTATTTCACCCCTTCATTTTGTCGTAATCCCGAGTTTTTTGTGATTTAAATTGTGAAAAAAAAAAAAAAAATTAGTTGTAAACTTCTTCACTATTGTTGGATTGTGCAGAGCCTAATCATAGCATACATATACAATTATCCTCTCGACCATGAATCAACGTAATTGGGTATTCCATAAGTGTATTAGGCGACCCTAATATTCCTACTGTATAAAGGATTTTAAGGAGTCTGCTTTTGTGTGTGTAAAGGAAAAATCCATTGTGGTGAAAACCCGCTCTGTGTACAGGGTTTTCATATCGAGATTTAACCACCACAAATCTCTGCAGTCCCTTTAATCATTTTTATTTTCATGGTGCTATTGTAAGAGGCTCAATCCTTAACAAGAAGTGGTAGTAATGAAATATTTATTTTGGTTTCAACACCTGATGCTCTGTTGAGACAACATATCTAGTGGCATGTTTAGCAATGTGGAATTATACCATACTGAATAGTATTAAATAAGAAAAAGAAGTTCATAATATGGTATATTACACTGTTTGCTAATGATCTGAATGCTAAATATCAAACACGCACTAGATCATTACAGTTATCCTAAAGATGCTTAATTTTTCTCAAAATGCTGCTAGTTATATGGACATGTCACTTGCGACCATTGTGCTCATGATTTTTTTAAATTCTTTTCTGGATTGAAATACAGGATCACAGCAATTTCCGTCACTTATTGCTCCACCTACAGTAGTTCCAGATTCATTATTTGCACCGGCCCCCTCACCTTCTGAGTCTGGTGGTTTTCCTACAACGACACCAAAGCCTTCTGTGGTGCCTTCCTCTGGTTCAGGTATAGGATTTCCACCCGCAAATGGACCAGCTGGAAGTGCCTTGGGTTCCTCTGATGCTTGTTCCTTGATGAACAATTTATCTAGTTTTTCAGCCATGCTTACTTTAGGTCTGGTTTTCAAGTTTATAATGTCGATTCCATTGTAATTGTTGGGTTTTGATACCCAATAAATCTCGGGCTAAGATGTTAAACCGGATTTGTTTGTTGGATTATACATCATAAGTCTCGGACGATGACTGAAGTTGTACATCGAAAACACAATTAGTGAGACGGATCATATAAACAATTTATTGCTGTCATTGCACGGTTTTTAATGCTGCCAACTGATGATTGCTAATTATTCTTTCTTCATATTAGTTTTTCTGAACCAGGCAATTATTTTCAGTGGTAAACATTTCTTCATGGTCCTTATCCTGTTCGAATTGTTCTCGTTCTCTTACATGATTCTATGACAAATGTGCTGGTTTCTCTTCGAACTACTGATGTTTTGAACAGAGAATAACAGAAAGTAGAATGATTAAGAGTTGATATTAATACAAGTACACACGCATAGTGGGGTGGAGATGGGGTGACGGGTCTTAAGTTTTCACAGCTCTTGCTGTAGAGAATTGATATGAGGAATATGGGATTTTCCAGTAGTTTCAAATTTGTCATTATGAACGTCGGCTGATGTTTTTATCTCCACCACAGGCAATTCTTGGGCCTTGCCTTCATGGTATGTTAACATATCAGAGGTTGTCTTCTCTTTGCTTTTACCCCACACCACTGAGTAAAGTCCGAATACTATGATGATTGCTCCAATTAAGCTGCAATTACATTCACAATAAGGGCATCAGTTAGATTGTTCAACTCAAACCCAACTCACCAGTTAGCTCCGGGTCAGGTTCTAGTGGTTCTAGGAAAAAATGTCGACCCCTATTCCTAGGACATATGT